GGGATGTTTTCCCTCAATTTTGAACTTACTGTAGGGGTTTTTGCCCAATCCTCCAAGACCTTCATCACTTGTTCAGCTGTCAAGGAAGCTATCGTTTTGTTTATATGCAAAGCCGCCTAGCCTAGTTCATGTTGTAAAAGCTCCCCTGCAGTGGACTTCACATGAACCCCTTGAAGCGCATTTCCAAGGTATTCTTTGGGCAATGGAGGTTTCAATTTTTGCCTCAATCCTACTGCAATCTTGTAGATAATCTCCTGATCAAGGTTGAGATGACTGGCATGTGTTACGGCTCGCCAAAGATGAGCCATGAGTGCTTGAAGGGATGAGACGTCATGAGTGCCCATCTCAGCACTGGCCTTGGATTTGAGCTGTGCAGTTTTCTCCTTGGAAAAATGAAATACCCTTTGCAAATAATTTAATGAGATGGGAGGATTAAGCTTATCCGGTATTTTACTGTATGAGGAGCGTATGTGAATTGGAAGATCAAATACACCGTCAAGAAATTGACGATCGAAAACGGGAGGGGGTTGAAAATTTTCATCAGAGCCTGAACGAGAGATCTCAGACCAAGTGTTAAAGAAGTGCCAGAATGATGATCCATCAACAACACAGTGGTTCATAGTGCAACCTATGAAAATGCCATCAATGAGCTCAGTTACTTGCACTGCAAGCAATGGTTTTGGGACCCCTTCGTAGTTCAAAACCCCATTCATGGAGAAGAGGTTGGAGACAATGTCATCTGGAATATAAAACAGGGTCAAGGATATCAGCCACCTTGATACCATCAGCAGCTGCATGAACAAAAAGAGCTCCATCACCGTCACAGTTGATGGAAAAACAAGTGCCGGCTTTATCTTGGCTTTCAACAGCGGCTAGGCTGCCAGCAAGCGGGTAGAAGATATTCAAGGGGAGAACCCCTTTTGGACATAATCAAGTTGGATTAGTTTCGAATCCCATGGAGTTAACTCAATTAATCTCTGCTTTAAGTGATCATGGCTGGTTGGCCGGACAATAGTTATCAAGATCTGCGGGCTCTGGGCCATTTTTATTTTCCCAATTTAAGTGGACAACACTGAGACTAGACCACAACATTAAACGTTGAATGATGACACTGTTGTGAGTATGGTTAGAAGGTGTCTTGGACTGAGACTCAACAATAAACAAACCCAACCAATCTGTTTGGGGTGGTCAAAATTCACTCAATCCACCGTGGAGAAAATGCTACAGCCTAGATGAAATCCACCAAGAGCGAGGTCCACCGAACCTATTCCGCCAAAGGGATGGGAACAATGCCGCCAATTCCAATCTACCAACTCTAATTTGCCAAAATCTCAAATGGCCAATAAATTCTCCAATTGGCTATGAGAAGAAAACACTAGTTTTTGTAAGAGTTCTTGACTTCAATAGTCAAAGGCTATGGCATATATATTAATAAATAAATATGACAGTTTTCTCGGTGGATCTGGGAGCTCCCATGCCAACTTCCGTGGATTCTCAAACAAATCTAGAAACTCCAATATCCGAATATTTGGAGAACTCAACATGTGGTAGATATTCGAATATTTGGAGAGCTCAAAGATGGTCCCACGTGGAGCCAAGCCCTAAATGCATATCCAAAAACTCGCAGGTCCAAGCCCAAGCCATGAATCCAAACACAAGATTTCCGAACGGAGGCCTTACAAGGAAAGAGATCAAGAGGAGTGATGACAATCCGGAGTACTATGAAAGAAGTGAAAATCAAGCAAACAAATTATCTCAATCAAAGCAATCCCATGGATTTGGGGAGCCTCAGAAGGAAGGAGTTTCAAAAGAGTTGACTTTGACCATTTAATGGCCAACTCATGGGCTGTCAGATGCCCCTATATAAACCTCATCAAACGAAGGAAGAAGACACACAACCCTATTTTTCGTATCACACTTTTTTTTCTTTCTAGACCTAAGATTTTACTTTTCAAGCACTTAGTGTAACAAGTTCTTCCTTTTCTTTGTGTAAGTTTACTTTCTTGCAATTTACATTTTTTTTCTTTTAAATTCAAGTTTATATCAATTGCCTTACTTTTCATTAAGTTTAATTTAGTTTATCATTCTTATCTCGTTCTTACTTTATTTTATGTTACTTATCGCTTTGATCTATTTTATCGCACTTTAATTCTTGTCTTTTAGTTTAATCACATCTTTAATTTATTTGCATTGTTTTTACTTAAAAGTCTTAAAAATCACAAAAATATCCATACGAAGCTTAACCATCCTCGAGTCCGAGAAAGTGAAAGAACCTAGGCCAAGAGGAGGTTCGTTGCTTAGCTGATCAATCACTTGGTCAAAAGTCATAAGCGCAACATATTCATTCAACCCTTTCCATATAAGCAAATAAAGAAAGTAGAGTACGTGCATAATAATTCAATAGTACAATTATTTCGCTTTGTGTTCAGCACCACGCACTGCGATGCGAGCTATCCACCACATGTGAAAAGCAAATGGTATTTCTGATGGGCAAAAGACGTGTATATAATGCTGGCATATGTTACTTATAAGCAAATAAAGGAGGTGGAGTACGTGCATAATAATTCAGTGGTACAATTATTTCGCTTTGTGTTCAGCACCACGCACTGCGATGCGAGCTATCCACCACATGTGAAAAGCAAATGGTATTTCTGATTGGCAAAAGACGTGTATATAATGCTGGCATGACATGCTGAATTGTTGAGTTAGTCAGAAGTTCACGTGGGTTCACTTGTTTGTTAAGCTGAGAAGCTAAGTGCTCATTTTGCATCTATTTCATTGCTTGGTTTTTATAATTTAGTAAAATGGGCGTAAAATAACCATTATACCCTTGCACCAATCAAGGTAATTGGAGATTTCGGTAAGACTGATAACATGCAAAGACAAACATTATTGTTTTGAGTTACGCAAATTGAAAAACCTGCAAAGAGTTTAATCATGCCAGCGCTGCAGCCTCCATGAACTCTGCATCGTCCAACATAGCTTGTATAGTCTCAGGCGAAAGGCAAGCTTCAAAATCTACACTGCCTTCTTCAGCCCCAGGAAACACAGTCAACTTCCCATCCATGTTGTTGGCAGCTCCGCTTCGCACCGCAACCGGTCTCCCCCACCCAAAATCATTGCCATACACATTGAACCTCGGCGAGCTTCCTGTGAGCAATCCCACCATTTTTGGATCGCTGAACTTTGGAAGAAATGTAGGGGTTTTTTCCCAACCCTGCAAGTACTTCCTCGCTTCTTCAGCTGTCAGGGAAGCGATTGTTTTGTTTATTTGCGAAGCGGCCCAGCCTAGTCCATGGTGTAGCAGCTCACTTGCACTGGATTTTACATTAACGCCGAGGACCCCATTTCCAAAGTATTCTTTTGGCAATGGTGGATTCAACTTTTGCCTCAATCCTACCGCAATTAGATAAGTAACCTCTTGATTTGGATTGAGATGTCTGCAACGCGTTGTGGCTAGCCAAAGATGAGCCATGAGTGCTTGAAGAGTTGAGATGTTATTATTGACCATTTCAGCATTGGCCTTTGCTTTGAGCTCTGCTAGTTTTTCTTTGGGAAAATGAAATACTACGCTTTGTAACGAATAGGAGGGTGGTCCGATTATAAGATGCTTAGTCTTGATTTCATCGTAAGACATGGGTAGGTGAATTGGGAGATCAATCAAGCTGTCATGATACTCACGACGGCCAAAAACAGGGCAAGGTTGAGAAATTTTATCAAAGCCAATACGAGAAATTTCAGACCAAGTGTTCAAGAAATGCCAAAAAGAGGTACCGTCCACAACCATGTGGTTTATGCTGCAACCAATAAAGAAGCCATCAAATAGCTCAGTCACTTGCACTGCAAGCAATGGTTTGGAAATGCCTTCGAAGTTCGGGACCTCATTGAGGGAAAAGAGATTATAGACAATGTCAGCAGGTACATAAACAGAGTCAAGGATATCGGACACTTCGATACCATGGGCAGCTGCATGGACGAACAAGGCTCCATCGCCATTACAGTTGATGGAAAAACAAGTGGTATTATCTTCGTTTTCAGTCACGGCTAGGCAGCCGGCAAGCGGGTAGAAGATGTTCAAGGTGTTGTATCAAACTCTGGTTTGCTTCTTTCTCCGCTGGTTTGCGGAAGAGAAGTCCCTTTTGGATGTAATCAAGTTGGATGAGCCGCAGGTCCCACGGAGTTAGCTCAATTCTCTGAGCTGGTAGCTGATCTTTATGGCTTGTTGGTCGGATGGTGCACGTCGAGATACGCCGAATCTGATTCATTTCTCCCAGATTGTAAAATGTTGAAGCTTTGGTGATTGTGATGGAATGTGGTACTCATTATAAAGGGCTTTGGCATTTCCATTATACTCAAACTGGCGCATGGCTCAACGCATAAAATCAATAGCAGATACCCACATAATTTATTTTAAGTAGGATGGGTGTTTTTTTCTAAAAGGCCATGATAAGCATGGGTGTTTTTTTTTAAAACATAATAATAATATAATAAAAGTTCCAAAGCATAATTAATTTCTTCCGAAGGCATTGAAAAAAATAATGTTGATTTAATTCATCTAAAGCACCAAACAGTCAGCTCACTGCATCCCATCACCTAACCTTACCTGCACCGTTGCGATGCTCACCGAACCCAAATCTCATGAGATTAGGCTTTTTTTATATTATATTTTATCTCAAGGGGAGCAGGAATTCGTACTTGGAGCCTCTTCTTACGTACCACGTGAGTAACATCTACTTAGTAATCTTATTATCATGAGAGCATTTGACTTTTTTTTAAAAAAATTCCCTTAATTGGAAGGACACCAGTTTGTTAGTATTATGAATGAGAATTTGACGGTTAAGTTTGATTATGATCTGAGAGTGGTGAAGTTTCTACTTATTAAGATGAGGGATTCAAGCAACATACATCTCAATGGACATGTGCAAAGTAAAATTCACCAACCTTAAAATTAAGCACACTGACAAACTTTAATTTGCAAGCCAATTTCAAAAGCAGGGCACTTCATGTGAGCACAGCCTCCATGAATTCTGCATCGTCGGCCATAGCTCGAAGAGTCTCAGTCAAAAGGCAAGCTTCAAAATCAATACTTCCATCTTCTGGACCAGGAAACACTGTTAGCTTCCCAAGCTTTCTCTCTGGAATTCCGCTTCGCACAGCAACCGGGCTTCCCCATCCAAAATCATTTCCATACACATTGAACCGCGGTGAGCTTCCTGTGATCAATTCCACATTTGTTGGTTCCCTCAGCACATTTGAAAGAAATGTAGGAGCTTTTACCCAATCCTCCATGTACTTCCTCGCTTCTTCAGCTGTCAGGGAAGCAATTGTCTTGTTTATTTGGGAAGCCGCCCAGCCTAGCCCATGTTCTAGCAGCTCCCCTGCAGTGCACTTGACAATAACGCCTAAAAGCGCATTCCCGAGGTACTCTTTTGGCAATGGTGGGTTCAATCTTTGCCTCAGTCCCACCGCAACGCGATAAGCAACCTCTTGATCTGGGTTCAGATGTCTGCCGCGCGTTATCGCTCTCCAAAGATGAGCCATGAGTGCTTGAAGGGATGAAATGCTAATGTTACTGTCAATGGTGCCCATCTCAGCATTGGCCTTGGATTTGAGCCATGCAACTTTTTCTTTGGGAAAATGAAACACTACCCTTCGTAAAGAATCTGCAGATGAACCATGTCCAATTATAAGCTGCTTGCTCTTGATTTCATTGACATAGGAGGAGGGTAAGTGAATTGGGAGATCAATCACCCCTTCATGAAATTGGCGGCCCAAAACAGGATGAGGTTTATAAATTTTATCATAACCGCCAAGACGAGATATTTCAGACCAAGTATTGAAGAAATGCCAGAAGGAGGTACCGTCAGCAGCCATGTGGTTTATGCTGCAAGCAATAAAGATGCCATCAACAAGCTCAGTCACTTGTGCTGCAAGCAATGGTTTCGAAATGCCTTCGTAGTTCCAAGCCTCCTTCATAGAGAAGAGGTTGTTGACAATGTCATCTGGAACATAAACAGAGTCAAGGACATCAGCCACTTTGACCCCGTCAGCAGCTGCATGAACAAACAAGGCTCCATCGCCATTACAGTTGATGGAAAAACAAGTGGTGTTATCTTCATTTTCAATCACAGCTAGGCGGCCAGCAAGCGGGTAGAAGATGTTCAAGGTTTGGGAAAGAGGGGCTTGTTGGGGAGTGATTCAAATAGTTTTCCTTGTTGATTTTGGATATAATCAAGTTGGATTAGGCGCAAATCCCATGGAGTTAACTCAATTCTATGACTTAGCTGATCATTATGATTTGTTGGTCGGATGGTGTTTGTGGAGATCTGCCGAATCCGAGTCATTTTGCCCAGATTGATTGCCTCCCACACTTTTGAAAGTCTCTTGGTGGTGTTTGAATATACAGTGTAGTTGGCTACCTAATTTTGGTCAACAATAAACAAACACAGAAAATCGAATATTATATGTAATAAATTTATTTAAGTATAGGACGGTGACTTTGCTTAAGATGAATGATAAAACAAGATAAGCAAGGTTATTTCTTTAATATAAAACAAACATAAGCAATATGAAAGAAGTGGGCCTGTTTGGTATTCAACTTAAGTCCAACTTTTTAAACTCAAAAACAGAATTTGAGTTCAAAACACAGAAAATATGTTTGGTAGCCCTATTTTTAAAAAATTCAAACTCAAGAACAACTAAAAAATACCCCAATTATTAAAAACAAAAAAATATATGTTTTTTCAATTTTTTTTTCAAACAACCCACAAGTTCTTAAATTTTTAAGATTTGAAAACAGTTTTCAAGTTGCATACCAAACAAGTTTTTGAATCTTAAAAATAGATTTAAGAACTCCTTGTTAAAAAAAAAAAAAATCAAAGTTCTTGAGTTCCCTATTTAAATAGGATACCATACTCCTTTCTTGGTCTAGACTCTAAATCACATTATTCTGGTCAAGGTACTCCTTGTTGCAAGTTCAAGTATTGCCGGACTTGATCTATGTCTACTTTCTGTGAGCTGCCCTTGGACACTTTGTTGGCTTGGTAAAATTTGTGCCGGTACGAAGATGATTTTTTAAGCTCAAATTGAAGGCTTTGTTTTTGTTGCTTTTAGTAAGCCCTTGGCTATGTTGGTTATCAGCCACTTCATCTTCTCATATACACTTTATTGGCGGAAAAATCGGAAATAATATGAATTTAAAGATAATAGCAATTCTCAATAGAATTGTAATAATTAAATACAATAACAAATTTATAGGAAATTAATGTACATCAATAAACATAAATAGAAATACTGACAACTTTAACGATTGAGGCTTGCAAGAATTGCAATGTCCTAAAGACAGATTTCGCCCCTATTTGTCCTTGTACTAAATTGAAGCACTTCAATTTAAGACTATGACGAACCAATTATATATTTGTACTCTTAAGATTAGACTCATAATTGATCACAACAGTAAAACTACAGCACTAGGGAATACTCTGTTTTTCCACCACGGGTAAGAATTTATATACAAGGAGGAACCTGTTGGGTTTATATGAAACCTAAACATCATTCTTAAAACAAACCATCGTGGCTGTTTCCAACATATGCAACTTCTTATCATAATTATATGGTATTTTCTGAAAATACCAAACGGTGGCTCGTTCAAATGACAACCAACACTTGCAATGGCTTGGTTACAATAACTACAAAGCAAACCTAAGATTTTTCATTCAATAATAAAATTAAATATTATAATATAAACTATTATATTATTAAATTTCCAACACACTTCACTAGCTTTATATTGGAAGAGATGGATATTTGGTGGGTAGCCGCACAGTTGGAGACAACGTCTCCTTGTCTGATCAGTAAGGAGAGATAATTTTGATACAGTTGATTCTTTTTGCAGAAAAAGCAAATTATTCTTTGCTTTGGTTTGTTGTAAGGATTTGCTAGCAATTTTGTGAGCAACAAGAAGAATCAGCAATGTCTTTTAGCTTGCTTTGTCAACAAAAAGATATTTTGCATTTGCTGGGCATCCTCTTGCCAAAAATCCTAGCTCAGCAATTGGCTTCAAATTGACACACTTTTTTTTATTTTTCACACAAGAGACACTAGACAGCGAGAAATCAGACACAAAACTTCGGATATATACCCTTAATTACTTAAGCTACAGCCTCCATGAACTCTGCATCGTCCATCATAGTTTGTATAGTCTCAGGCAAAAGGCAAGCTTCAAAGTCTATGCTCCCTTCTTCAGCCCCAGGAAACACTGTTAACTTCCCATCCATTTTGTCACCAGCTCCACTTCGAACAGCAAGTGGTCTCCCCCACCCAAAATCATTACCATACACATTGAACCGAGGAGAGCTTCCTGTAAGTAATCTGGCCAACAATGTTGGGTTCCTCATATTCGAAATAAGCGTAGGTTTTTTTACCCAATCCACCAAGTCATTCCTCGCTTGTTCAGGTGTCAGGGAGGAAATTTTTTTGTTCTTTTGGGAAGCTGCCCTGCCAAGTCCATTTTGTAGCAGCTCACTTGCAATGGCGGTCACATTAACGCCTATAATCGCAGTCCCGAGGTACTCTTTTGGCAACGTTTCAGGCTCCCATCTTTGCCTCAACCCTATTGCAAATCGATAGTTAACCTACTGATCAGGTTGGAGATGCCTGGCACGTGTCGTGGCTTGCCAAAGATGAGCCATGAGTGCCTGAAGAGATGAGATGTTACAGGTTTTGCCCATCTCAGCATTGGCCTTTGCTTTGAGCTTTGCTATTTTTTCTTTGGGAAAGTGAAACACTACCCTTTGTAAGAAAGCATCGAAAGAAGACGATTTGATTATAGGCTTGCGAATGATTTCACTATAGGAGAAGGGTAAGTGAACTGGGAGATCAATTACCCCGCCAAGAAACTGTCGGCCAAAAACGGGACGAGGTTGCAAAATTTTATGGGAGCCAGAACGAAAAATTTCTGCCCAAGTATTAAAGAAATGCCAGAAAGAAGTACCGTCGGCAACCACGTGGTTTAGGCTGCAACCGATAAAGATGCCATCAACAAGCTCAGTCACTTGTGCTGATAGAAGTGGTTTCGAAACTACGAAGGACATGATCAGGAATGTAAGGGTTAAGGATATCAGCCACCTTGACGCCGTCAGCAGCTGCATGGACAAACTCGGCTCCTGCACCGTTACACTTGATGGAGATAGAAACAGTGCTATCTTCAGCATTTTCAGATACAACCAAGCGGCCAGCAAGCGGGTAAAAGATGTTCAAGGTGCGGGAAAGAGAGTCTTTTAGGCGTTGTACCAAGCTGACATTGCTGTCTTCTCTCTCAGCTGATTTGTGGTAGAGAATCCGCTTTTGAATGTAATCAAATTGGATTAATCTCAGATCCCATGGAGTTAACTCAATTTTAGGAGCTGTTAATTGATCGTCCTGAGTTGTTGGTCTGACCGTGGTTGTGGAGATATGCAAGATCTGAGTCATTTTTCCCTGATTGATTGAAGATGATGGAACAAAGTTATATAGAAAGCTACACAATATTTTCACTGTGCATGGGCTCAACAATAAATGAACACATTGTAAAATGTTGAAGCTTTGGTGATCGTGATGGGATGTGGTACTCATTATTAAAGGCTATGGCATTTCCATTATACTCAAACTGGCTCATGGCTAAACGCATAAAATACGCACAAACAAACGCATAAAATCCATAGCAGATACGCACATAATTTATGGTGTATTTTTTAGTAGGCCATGATAAGCAAGGGTGTTTTTTTTTAAAAACATAATAATAATATAATAAACAGTAGTAAAGGAAAATATATAAACCAGCGAGATAATCTATTAACTACTGGGGCAGGGTCCCAAAAATGATGAGCTGCATCACTGAATGCCACCACCTAACCTTACCTGCACCCTTGGGACGCTCGAGCGAACCCGAATCTCATGAGATTAGGCTTTTTCGTGTTTTATTTTATCTCAAGGGGAGCAGGAATTCGTACTTGGAATCTCTTCTTACATACCACTTGTAACAGCTACTTGGTAATCTCATTCTCATGAGAGCATTTAACTTTTTGTAATTTTTTTTTCCTTAATTCGAAGGAGACCAGTTTGTTAGTATGAATGAGAATTTGACGGTTAAGTTTGATTATGATCTGAGAGTGGTGACGTTTCAACTTATTAAGATGAGGGATTTCAAGCAACATACATCACTATTCCAATCACGTACGTAGAACTTATTAAAAACCAAACAACTTTAGCTATTTCAAATACATGAAATTTATTACAAGCCAAAAACAAAACGTTGTTAATAAACTTTAATGCCTTCTATCCCAACGCTACATTAACAAAACGTTGTCATTACCCCACCAAAAGCAGCCATAAAGTAGCATGAGCCATTTTAGATATTAATTCATCAACAAGTAAATATAAGGGACATTTTGGAAAAAGCAAAAGGAGAGAGAAAAATTTTAAAAGAAGCAAAAATGGACAAAAATGCCCTTATTTATTTTTAGATTTCCTAAGGAATCCAATACATTTGCATGTCTTTGATTTGAAAGTTGAGTGGTTTTTTTGTCTTTTTTGAAAAAGCTTTGGCTTTTTCCAAAAGTGAAATTTTTTTTATGTCTAAAACCTAAAAAACCTTAAATTTTATATAAAGCAAAATTAGACAAAAGATTCACAGAATCAGCAATGTCTTTTAGCTTGCTTTGTCAACAAAAAGAGATTTTGAATTTGTTGGGCATGATCTTGCCAAAAATACTAGCTTCGAAATACGCTTCAATCATTCGCTATTTAAACTAAAGTGGTATATAAATGTAATATGACTAGCAATTTTGAATAGTTTAAGGTTTGGTCACATGAGTGAAATTGATTTAATTCCCAAAAATACCCTACTATACATTTTATTTACGCTCATTTTTTGATATACCCTCTGAAAGTGTATTTGAGTCTTACTTTACCCCTGAAACTCATTTTGTCTTACTTTACCTCATTTTTCACATATATTTGGGAAATATATGGGAGAAAATATGGATGAACAAGTAGGGTTGTAAATCGACTCGATCCAGTTTGGGTTGACTCATGTTCAACTTGTTTGAGCTTGGTTTAGTAAGAGTAAAGAGCTAAGCTATATACATATAGTCCTCTTCCATTGAGGGATCCCTCAAATTTATTTGAGGAACACCCTTTAGGGTATCCTACGAATCTTTTTTCAACGATCCAAATCGTCTATTTTTCAAGTCCTCATTCATAGATCATCCTTGCAAAAAATTAGACAAATTGAAAATCATTAAGGCATCTAATTCAGACCAACAAAATCAATGAACACGATACTTCAAGAAAATACTTAAATTTCAATAATTTAATCGAATGTTCAAATGATATCAGATTAATGTGGTTTTTTTTTTTTTGTAGAGATGGTATTTGAATATCTACAAAATAGATGGTTTGGACTAGTAAAATACAATGCGGAGTGGGCCCTATAAAGGTGTCCCTCAAATAAACTTATTTAAGGAATCCCTTAGTGGAAGCTCTCTCAATATATATTTATTGGTTTCGTAAGAGGTAATTTTTTTATTGTTTGTTTTCCTTGCTACTCATGTGTTTTGTTATAAAAAAGCTTAGTTCTTGATACTTGGCCCAACTCGATAAAAAGGGGTCGTATTGTGCCAAGCCGCCTTCCAGATTTGGGTGTGTAGGTTGGGCGACAACACAAGGCCTCAATTTTTATTTTTGCCTTGGGCCTCCAAAATTAATAGACCGGCCCTAATTTGAGCACGACCCCCATAAACTCTTTGTCGTCTTTCATAGCCTGTAGAACCTCTGGAAAAAGGCAAGTTTCAACATCAATACTTCCTTCTTCAGCCCCAAGAAACACTACTAGCCTCCCATTTGTTTTGTCTGCCACTCTGCTTCGCACAGCAAGTGGCCTCCCCCACCAAAATCATTCCCAAATACATTAAAACGTGGTGAGCTTCCTGTAAGCAATGCAAAACTTGTCGAAATATTACTTATATTTGGAACAAATATTGGGGCTTTCACCCATTCCTCCAAGGACTTCCTCGCTTCTTCAGCTGTCAGGGAAGCAATCTGTTTGTTTATTTGTAAAGCCGCCCAGCCTAGTCCATGATGTAGAAGCTCTCCAGCAGTGGACTTGACAAGAACCGCTTTAACCGCATTCCCGAAGTATTCTTCTGGCAATGGTGGCTTCAATCTTTGCCTCAATCCCACCATATAACCCGATAAATAACCTCTTGATCAGGGTTGAGATGTCTACTATGGGTTGCAGCCCGCCATAGATGAGCCATGAGGGCTTGGAGGGATGAGATGTTATTGATGCCAATCTCAGCATTGGCCTTGGATTTGAGCTCTGCTACCTTTTGTTTTGAAAAACGAAAGAGTACCCTTTGTAATGACTCTGAAGACCTCCTAACAAGCTTCCTTGTAATTTAAGGAAAAGAGGGTGAAGACTGTTGGGGTAATTTCAAACGTTAGGAGTTAAGGAAATAAAAAGTTAAAATCTAAAAGATTTAGCTATTATGTCTAGTGTATGAGTTGAAGTAAAAGTGAGGTTTAGTAGTGGTTATGATTATATTTAATGTTGAGTTAATATTATGGCCTATAAATAGGCAGCATATCCACTGTATGTAATGTGTGTATTAAGAGTGTCAAGAGTGTGTGTTGTAGTAGAGTATTTGAAGTATCAATCTTATTAAAGTTTGTCTCAAAAATAAGTTTGTTTAGGAGCTCTGTGTAGTCTTCGGGCTTCACATCTCCAAAATTATGTTATTTATTTAGTCTGTTACATTGTATTTCCCCTTTCACATTTAAAGTGTATTAGCATAAAGTTAAATCCACCAATAAAGACGACGTGATCAGGAATGTAAGGGTTAAGGATATCAGCCACCTTGACGTCGTCAGCAGCTGCATGGACAAACTCGGCTCCTGCACCGTTACACTTCATGGAGATAGAAACAGTGCTATCTTCAGCATGTTCAGATACAACCAGGCGGCCAGCAAGCGGGTAAAAGATGTTCAAGGTGTGGGAAAGAGAGTCTTTTAGGCGTTGTGCCAAGCTGACATTGTTGTCTCCTGTCTCAGCTGATTTGTGGAAGAGAATCCCCTTTTGAATGTAATCAAATTGGATTAATCTCATATCCCATGGAGTTAACTCAATTTTAGGAGCTGTTAATTGATCGTTCTGAGTTGTTGGTCTGACCGTGGTTGTGGAGATATGTAAGATCTGAAGAGTCATTTTTCCCTGATTGATTGAAGATGATGGAACAAAGTTATATAGAAAGCTACACCTTATTTTCACTGTGCATGGGCTCAACAATAAATGAACACATTATAAAATGTTGAAGCTTTGGTGATTGTGATGGAATGTGGTACTCATTATGGAAGGCTGTGGCATTTCCATTATACTCAAACTGGCTCATGGCCCTACGCATAAAATCAATAGCAGATACGCACATAATTTATTTTAAGTAGGATGGGTGTTTTTTTTAGTAGGCCATGATAAGCATGGTCCCAAATGATGTGCTGCATCACTGAATGCATTGAAAAAAATAATGTTGATTAATTCACCTCAAGTCCCGGACAGATCAGCTTACTGCATCTCACCACCTAACCTTACCTGCACCATTGCGATTCTCGAGCGAACCCGAATCTCATGAGATTAGGCTTTTGTTTTTATATGTTTTTTCGAGGAACACCTTTGTAGGGTCTACTCTGTATGTATTTCACTAATCCTAACCGTATAGTTTGTAGATACTCATTCAAAAAATCATCTTTACAAAAAATCACTTGAATCCGATATCATTTTACCACTCAATTGAATTATTGAAATTTTAGTATTTTCTTAAAGAACCGTATTCATTAATTTTGTAGGACACAATCATATTATTCTGGTCAAGGTACTTCTTATTGCAAGTTCAAGTATTGCCGGACTTGATTAATGTCTACTTTCTGTGAGCTGCCCTTGGACACTTGGTTGGCTCGGTAAAATTTGTGCCGGTACGAAGATTGTTGATTTTTTTAGCTCAAATTGAAGGCTTTGTTTTTGTTGCTTTTAGTAAGCCCTTCGCTATGTTGGTTATCAGCCACTTCTTGTGCGCATCTTCTCATATACACTTTGTTGGCGGAACAATCAGAAATATGAATTTAAAGATAATAATAATTCTTAATAGAATTGTAATAATAAAATACAATAACAAATTCACATGAAATTAATGTAAATCAATAAACACAAACAGAAATACTGACAACTTTAATCAATAAACTCAATTTTTATTTTTGCCTGGGCCTTCAAAGTCAATAGACCGGCCCTGATGTAGCACGACCTCTATAAACTCTTTGTCGTCCTTCATAGCTTGTAGAGCCTCTGGAAAAAGGCAAGCTTCAACGTCAATACTTCCTTCTTCAGCCCCAGGAAACACTGTTAGCCTCCCATTTGTTTTGTCTGCCGCTCCGCTTCGCACAGCAAGTGGCCTCCCCCACCCAAAATCATTCCCAAACACGTTAAACCGCGGTGAGCTTCTGGTAAGCAATGCAGAACTTGTTGAAATATTACTTATATTTGGAACAAATATTGGGGTTTTCACCCATTCCTCCAAGGACTTCCTCGCTTCTTCAGCTGTTAGGGAAGCAATCTGTTTGTTTATTTGTAAAGCCGCCTAGCCTAGTCCATGATGTAGAAGCTCTCCAGCAGTGGACTTGACAAGAACCGCTTTAACCGCATTCCCGAGGTATTCTTCTGGCAATGGTGGCTTCAATCTTTGCCTCAATCCCACCATAACCCGATAAATAACCTCTTGATCAGGGTTGAGATGTCTACTACGGGTTGCAGCCCACCATAGATGAGCCATGAGGGCTTGGAGGGATGAGACGTTATTGATGCCAATCTCAGCATTGGCCTTGGATTTGAGCTCTGCTACCTTTTGTTTTGAAAAATGAAAGAGTACCCTTTGTAATGACTCTGAAGACCTCTTAACAAGCTTCCTTGTAATTTCACCATAGGAGAAGGGTAACTGAACTGGGAGATCAATTACGCTGTCAAGAAATTGGCGACCAAAAAAGGGAGGAGGTTGAGAAATGTTATTAGAGCCAGCACGAGAGATTCAGACCAAGTATTGAAGAAATGCCAGAAAGAAGTACCATCCACAATCGCGTGGTTTATGCTGCAACCGATAAAGATGCCATCAACCAGTTCAGTTACTTGTGCGGCAAGCAATGGGTTCGAAATGCCTTCATAGTTCCGA